AAGGGGAGCCCTAGAATGACTGGGTCTAAAATGTTTTTTTTAATTAAAACGAATGTGGTTTTAAAACAAACATGAGCTTTTGGAATTTCTTATTTTAATTGCATTGGGGACTAGTTTGCTCCACTAAGGATTTTTGTTGATTTATGAAAACACTTAGTGGGGATTAAACCTTCTTGAATACAATTCAAGTCCACACCTGAGTCAATTAAGACAATTGTTTCTAACTAAAAGTCTTCAATTATTATTTTTATTTTAGAATACCATTTCTGGATCCTAATTTTTTGTAGTAATCCTAAAACTAGATTTTCTGTTGGATTTTCTATGGACTTGGATTCTAATTCTTGGTAGGAGGAAGAACTATCGTGTTCTTCATCATTATTGCTAAGGAATGCTTGTGTTTGAATACTACTGAGATGTGAGCGGATTTTTATGTTTTCTGATTTTGAGGACATAATTTCTTCCTTAATTTTGTTGACTTCCCTTTGTAGGTCTTTGATCGTAAAACCTTTCTAGGGTTGTGATAAGAAAGATTTTTAGGGCTACCTAAGGTTGACTAGTACTGGCTTCTTCAAGAGAGACTTACTTCTTAAGTTTCTTTAAATAAAATGACTTTAATTCATGGTCATCTACTTTGCTAATTAACTCGCTAAGAAGATCTTCTTGTTTATTGAGGACTGAAATCTTTTTACAACAAGCATCTGTGCATCCTATCTTAATGTCGGGGAATGAAAGACTACTTGAGGAATTACTGTAAAACGTTGAATTAAAATCTGAATCATCTTTAGATTGACTATGGTATGTTTCTCTTAATTCTAAGATTTGGATTAGTTGGGTCTTCTCTTCCTCAGAGATTTTCAACTGATTGATTGTTTTCTTGACTCTGCACTCATTTGCATAATGACCGAATTTGCTAGCGGAGACAGAGTTTAGCAAATATGTGGGGAAGGTAAAGCCAGTAAGATTTATGTATATTGAAAACCTGCATTTTGAACATTATGAGTAGATTATTTAGATCTAATTCAATGGCTAACATTAGCTCCAGATCCAGCTTAAGTAGAATTCCATACATAGTACATGAAGAACAAAAATTAGAATTTCAAACAGATGATAGTATCGACTTTGGAGATTGGAATATCCCCAAGGTTTCTAGTAAAAACATTTACAAAAAGAAATGGTCAGTAGCCTCTTTTAGAAGTGAACATCACATCAAAATAGTTGAAAAAGCTTATGCCCTTAGTAAAGAACATGAAACTTGTCAATTATTCACACCAAAACAAATTAAAACTCATATAAAAATGGTTACAACTACATTCACATAGGTGTTGTCCAAATAGCAGTTAAGCCCTTAACAAGAAGAGGCCTTAATACCTTTATTTTATTATGCCTTCAAGATGCAAGATTCAATGACTTCAATGACAACATTCTTGGGATGATTGAGTCAAGTCTTTAAAACGGACCAATTCATTTTGATTGTTTCCTAAATCTCACGATAAGTCTTTCAGATCCCCACATGCTAAAAGCACTCACATTAAACATAAAAAATTCAGGGTACCAAGTTCTTGAAGCAGTCCAACTATTAGCCTTAATCTTTAGACTTTACTACAAAGTTACAAGAACAAACATGAATTTCCAAGCCTTAGACCACACACTCCTGATACAAACCAATCAAGAAAATGCCAACATTAAAATACCCAGAACTATCAAATGGTCAGATATCAGTCTACCTTCAGATTGGTACTTGATCAATGAAAGCAAACTAGTAAGCGTACAGGATAGCTTAGTCAACCTCGACAACATAGAACAATATTTTGACGGAACAATTAAAATCAACTTCAACCCTCCAGCATGAAAATCTAGTGTCCACCTCCACAAGTTAGCCCAATCACACAAATCTTTAGGGTCAGATAAAAACTCTTTTTCTGGATCCACTTCAGTCGATATGGTGGTTCGAGATCAAGTTCTAACCAATTCCTTGGTCAATAAAAAATTAAAATAAGTAGAAACTAACTCAATAGTCACCCAGCAAGAATTCATTAATGATTTAATCAACATGAAATGAAATAAAAAATGTAGTCAAAAGAGATGAAGAAGGAACACTTATTTTCGATGAACGTATCGAAAGATGAGTCCTAGATGCAGTCAACACATTACTTTTCACTATCATAGAACATTTCATAGGGACACTGTAGACATTGAAATTTCGGTGAAATAAATGTTGGCCAATGCATTAAATGATTTATTTCATCTGATTATTATATTGAAAATTAAGCCTTGAAAAATTCTATAAATTGAAGGCCAAACCTTCCATTTAAGGGAACCCATTCACATGTACATTTCTGTACTCCCAAATTGGAAGAGAATTCCCCAAATCCTTGAAGCTATGAAACTCTAAAGCTTTCAAGCATCCAACTCCCAAATTCCCAAGAATCCCGGAAGATCAAGAAAACTCTCTTTGTTCTTCGTCAGATCCTTGAAGAAATCCACACAACTGTTCATCAAGATCAAGCCCCAAAGGCCCTTGAAGATCCTTCATCCTCATTCATCAAGATCAAGCCCAACGACCCTTGAAGAAATCCACACAACTATTCATCAAGATCAAGCTTCGAAGGCCCTTGAAGATCCATTCATCCTCGTTCATCCTAAGATCAAGCCTCAACGGCCCTTTGGATCAACAACATCAGCAAATCTACATTATTGTTCATCCCTAGACCAAGACTCAAAGACCCTTTGGATCAACATCTCATCCACAAATCTACACCTTACGAAGATAGAATTAGAGAATCAAATTTTAAAAGAGATTTTAACCCCAAAATTAATTCAAAACATTATTTTGTACACGTGTTCTTGTTTTATTCATTGTAGGAAAATCGTGTTTACAATTTTGGCACGCCCAGTGGGACAATCTCTACCTCTCATTTTTTTCTCCATTAAGGAATCCGAACACATCTCAAAATCAATGGCATCAAGCAAGGGTAAGCCGTTCTTGTAACCACCAAGGAAAGGATCCTGAGCACTTCTGCCGCGAACGGACAATCCATTGGCTCCACAACCGCTCTTCAACATGCTGCTTCAAAGTTGGTGCCACTAAGGGAACATGGGGAGCATCAAAGGTTCGAGTCCATCATCAACCTAACCTTGTTGGGGGCACCAAAGCATGCTGCTGAGGCACACAAGATAACATCCCAAAACGGCCAACGGGATTTTTCTTCAACACACTGGATGCCTGAAGAAAAATCACGTCTATTGGTTGCACAAGTCTTGACCATCGGCCTTACCTCCATTAAAGAATAACTGGCTTAAATAAGTGAAGCAATTGTAAGCTTCACAAGGACTGCGGAGGAGAAAGACTTGCAAATCACCGCACTCATTAACTGATTGGAGGCGCAACATGACGAAAAAGTTGACTGCGACCCAAAGATTGATCTACAAAAGAAAGAAGCCGACAAAGAAGAGGAGGCTCTGGTGGAGAAAGTTGAGGAGAAGCCAAGCCAAGCAATGACACTCATAGACTCTCTTTCCACACAGCATATCCAGGACATGATTGCTAACACTGTCGGAACACTGGTGTAAGGCACTTTACAAGATGCATTGTTGTACTCAAAGCCATATACCAAAAGGATTTATAGCTTGCGGATGCCGACAGGGTACTAACTACCAAAGTTTATGCAGTTTGATGGAAAGGGAAACCTAACGTAACCTGTTGCCCATTTCATTGAGACTTGCAACAATGTGAGGACTGAAGAAGACTGCCTCACAAAGCAGTTTGTCCACTCTCTGAATGGGAATGCGTTTGACCGGTACACTGACCTAGAGCCTGAGTCCATCACTAGTTGGGAAAAGTTGGAGTGGGAATTCCTCAACCTCTTTTACAACACCTACTGCACTATAAGCATACTGGAACTCACAAATACAAAACAGTGGAAAGATGAGCCAGTCGTTGACTACATCAACCGATGGTGCACTCTAAGTCTCGACTGCAAAGATAGACACTTGGAGACCTCCTCGATCGAGATATGTGTTCAAGGCATGCAGTAGGGATTACACTACATCCTTCAAGGCATCAAACCACGGACCTTCGAGAAGTTGACCACCCACACCCATGACATGAAGTTAAGCATCGCCCATCATGGGAAGAAAGAATCAATCGCCGACTACAAGAACGACAAAGTTTTTGGGCCAAAGGTGGACAAGGTTGTGTGGAAACCTACCAAGGAAGCAATGACGGTTAATATAGCTCCCGTCAAAATCTCCACACGAGGCAAGGCGATTCAAACCGAAGCTTTTCGTTATCCATTCCCCGACTCTGATGTGGTTTCCATGTTGAAAGACTTGCTTGACAAAAAAATGATCTATTTACCTGAGTGTAGACGGCCGGAAGAAATGAACTGTACTGACAATCCAAGGTACTGTAAGTTCCATCGATTTATCAGTCATATGACAAAAAAGTGCTCCGTGCTGAAAGATCTCATCATGAAGCTGACTCAGAAAGGAATCATCGAGCTAGATCTTGACAATGTGGTGAAGTCAAACTATACCACTGTTACTTTTGGCTTTTTCGACTCAAAATCTTCACCTCAACTGCTGGGGGCATGCTCCAAAACCATGTCAGTCAAGTTAAGTGAAGTTGAAGGATGGACTCATGTCACTCCAAAGAAACTGCACAAGAAGTATACGTCTCTTTCATAAATTCACCTATCGGAAAAGGGGCAAAGCAGCTCTCGTTAACCTCCAAAGCTACATAAAGTGTTAAGGATGATGAAATTGTGACACGAAGATCGTCTGTTGCCATCATGATGCGCAATTTCTTCCTCGAAAACTTCTTCAATCACTTGGTCAAGACTCCTTGCTATGAAGATTGCAAGGAATGCCTCTCCAAGATCGTTTGACAAATTCAAAAAGCTCCTTGTTTGCAAAAGCCTAAAAGGCGACAACCAAAACGCTCCTTGCTTGCACAAGCTGAAACTGCAAACGGCACAAAAATACTCATTGCTTGCACGAGCTGAAATTGTAAACGGCACCAAAATGCTCCTTGCCTGCATGATCTGAAACTGCAACACGGCACCAGACTCTCGTTGCCTGCATGAGCTGAAACTGTAAATGACACCAAATCTACACCAAATGCTCTTGGCCTGCAAGAGCATAAACTGTGTACAACACAAAAAAAATGTATTTGAACTACGTTATGACTTGATCTCTTCTTTGGAGGGGTACTTAGGCACCTCGAACATTCAACTTTGAATTCAGTCACATCAAAATAAAAATAAAAAATAAGGTTTTATTAAAGGCTCGACTAATGAAAGTTAATTTCATTACAAAAAAAAAAATACAAGTTTTCTTTTGTACATAAATTAAATTACAGCTTATTTTAAAAAAAATACAGGTTGTAAATATACATATATTTGTATATAAATTTGCAATTGCTTTGGCCCAGCACGGTGCACACCATCAATGAGTCAACCAGCAATAAGCCCAACTCTCGTGGCCCATCCTCACTCAACTCCAAGCTGGTCCAAATCCTCTCCCAAAGCTTCCTTGTCTCCAGCTGTCTCTCTCATTCTTTTCAACTAACCTATCCACCTTAAACTCGTCTCTGCCACCGAAGGCTTTAAGATCAGACACCATGAATCGAAGCAGTTGAGATGGCGGTGCCAGTCTCCTTCGTCCTCATTCCAACCAAACCCCACATGCTACTTATGGTGCGTACACTTGGAGCAACCTTACTGCCAACCCAGCCACATGTCTCTCCTTCGTCTCAGGTCTTCACTCGCGAGCTCATTAACCCCCTTTTCCAGCATCGGCTATCTCCGTTTGCGTGGCATAGCCCGTCCTTGTCTCGTAGTCTGCCTAGCGAGCTCTGGACCTCACACCCAGCTACCTGTATCGTCCTTCAAGCCCACAGAGGTGTTAACCCAGTATCTCAGATTCAATGAAGATAGAGAGAGAAAGAGAGAGAGAGAGAGAGAGAGAAAGAGGATTGTAGAGAGAATTCAGAGGGAAAAATTATGATGTATTATTATCTACTTCACATTAAGGAAGCTATTACAAGATGGAGTATTTATACTCTTAGCAAACCGACTCTTCTAACCAATATAACAAACAAGCTAATCTGTTTACATGTGGCATCATCTCAGCCTTACATTCTTATACTTCTAACATCCCCCCACAATCTCATGCTTGGAACCGCCAAGCATTAGATTGGTACAATGAAACTTAAACAAAGGAGCACTCAATCATTTTGTGAGAATATCCGCAAATTGTTCTTGAGAAGACACAAATTGAACAATCAATTTATTCTTGGCAACCCTCTCGCGAACAAAATGAACATCTATCTCAATATGCTTAGGGCGCTGATGTTGTACTGGATTGAAGGATAAGGCAATTGCTGAAAGATTATCACAAAATAATACAGGAGAAGAAGGAACAGAAACCTTCAAGAAAGCCAGAAGTTGTTGGATCCAGTCTAACTCAGCAGCCGTGGAAGAGAGAGCCCGATATTCAGCTTCAGTAGATGATCGAGAAACAGTTTGTTGTTTCTTAGATGACCAAGAGATAGGATTGGTACCTAAAAAGACCACTAAACCGGTTGTAGACCTCCTATCATTAGGATCTCCTGCCCAGTCAGCATCACTAAAAGATTTGAGATTCAAATCACCCTTGGAATATGTGAGCCCCAGATGCATAGTCCTTTTTAAGTACCTTAAGATCCTCTTCACTGCTGTAAAATGAGACTGCACTGGTGCTTGCATAAACTGGCACACCTGATGAACAGAAAAGGCAATATCGGGCCTAGTAAATGTAAGATACTGAAGAGCCCCTATTATACTCCTGTACATGGTTGGATTGTTATAGGGCTGACCATCATCCTTCAATAGCCGATTATAAGGGAGACAGGGAGTATCACAAGCTTTAGAATCAAGCATTTCTGTTTTATGCAGCAGATCCCGTATGTATTTAGTCTGTGATAAGAACAGACCATTGGGACACCTAGTAATCTGAATACCCAAGAAAAAATGGAGAGTACCCAAATCCTTGATATCAAACTCAGTTGTGAGAGAGTGAATGACCTGTGTAATTGCTGCAGAACTGCTCCCTGTGATGATTATATCATCAACATACAACAATAAAATCACAACAGATTCACCAGCATGCTTGACAAAAAGAGAAGAATCAGAATATGTATGTTGAAACCCCAGAGAAGGTAGAAATGCAGTAAACCTTTCATTCCAAGCCCGAGGGGCTTGTTTCAACCCATAGAGGGACTTGTGTAACTTACACACTAAGTCAGGTTGTTTAGCATCTACAAACCCAGGAGGTTGAGCCATATATACCTCCTCTTGAAGAACGCCATGCAAAAAAGCGTTTTTGACATCAAGTTGTCGAAGGGGCCAATCAAATTGAGCTGCTAATGCCAAAACTAACCTGACAGTAGTTGGCTTTACTACAGGACTGAAGGTTTCTCCATAGTCTAAACCAGGTTCTTGGCTAAACCCTTTTGCGACCAACCGAGCTTTATGCCGAGCTATAGATCCATCAGAATGCTTTTTGACCTTGAAAACCCATTTGCAGCCCACTAAGTTCTTTTGAGGTGGTAAAGGAACCAAACTCCATGTCCCTTGTTTATACAATGCATCTAGTTCTTCTGTCATAGCATTGAACCAAACTGGAACCTTGAGTGCAGATTTGTAAGTAGCAGGTTCCACCAAAGAAAGATCAACAGGTGGAGACGCATCAAATGTGGTCAAGAGTACCTTCTTTTTAACAATTCCACTTTTACTCCTTGTTTGCATAGGATGTAAATTGAGGGGAGGTATTGGTAATACAACTTGGAGACTATCAGGACTAAAATCAAATGCCACAGGGATCTCAGGATAGGAATTTGCAGCTGCAGTAATGGACTAAGGAACAAAATTTGAGGTGACTGGGTGGGAGGGTACTAATGAAGGGGGAGTGGAAACAGAAGGATGTAATTGTGTAACAGCAAGACTATGAGATGACAAACTTGGTGACACAGGTATAGAAAATGTATGTGATGATGAATGAGATGGGAATGTAACTAATTCATTAAGACTATTAGTGATAGATAAGGAAAGTCTGTCAATAAGGCTGAATAAGGAAACTCTGTCTCATCAAAGATCACATGTCTAGAAATGTAGAATCTTTGACTTAACACCTCTTAACATATATACCCTTTATATTTAGAGGCATACCCAAGAAAAACACATTTGGCTGTTTTTGGTTGCAATTTAGTATTGTTGTAAGGCTTAAGAAGAGGATAACAGGTACACCTGAAAACCCTTAAGTGTGAAAGGACAGGTAAATCCCCAAACAAAAGCTCAAAAGGTGACTTATTCTGCAAAGTTGCAGAGGGCATCCTATTGATGAGATAGTTAGCAGTTTGACAACCAAATGACCAAAACCGGGATGGCAATTGAGCATTTTGGAGAAGTGTAAGTGTGCTTTCTACCAAGTGTCTATGTTTCCTTTCTGCTAAACCGTTTTGCTCAGGGGTATAAGGACAAGAAATTTGATGGGAAATGCCTTTGTCTTTAAGAAACCTTTGAAATCTGTGACTAAGGTATTCCCCACCCCCATCACTTTGTAACAATTGAAGGGAAACAGAAAATTGGTTCAACACAAATGAATAAAAACCAACAAATGTGTCAAACAAATCTGATTTATTGATGAGAGGAAACAGCCAACAAAACCGAGTACATTCATCAATGAATGTTACATAATATCGAAAACCATCAGCAGAGATACATGGTGCTGGCCCCCAAATGTCACTATGAACAACTTCAAAAGGTTTAACAGCCTTATTGACACTACAATGAAATGGCAGTTTGCTAAACTTGCCTTCTAAGCAACTTTGACACAACACAGGTAAGGATGATTTTGCACAAGGTATTTTAGCTTTACTGAGCATTAAAGACACAATGGAGTTTGAGGGATGACCTAGTCTACTATGCCAAAGAGTAGACTTGACAAGCTGACCAAGGAAGGCTGTGGGTTGCAAAATCGATTTCTGAGACGCAGGAGGATGATTGGCAAGGGAAGGTAGTGAATAGAGCCCATTATTGCAAATTCCTGTGAACAGTATCCTCTCTGTAGCCTTGTCCTGTATCCAAAAATTATAGGCATCAAATACGAGGCAACAGTTGTTGTCAAGGCAGATTCTATGCACAGATAACAAGTTTTGAGACAATTTAGGCACATATAGTATAGAATTCAGCTTAATGGGATGAAGTTGAGGTTTGAGAATTGTACTCCCAATATGAGATACTTTCAGAACTTCACCATTAGCTGTGTGCACTGTTTCAGAAGTAGGATAAGGAGTGGCTAAAGTCAAATTGTTGAAGTCAGCAGTCATATGGTTGGTGGCACCAGAGTCTGCAATCCAAACTGGAGGTGAAGCAGCCGGAGTGGAGGACATGCCAGGTGTTGACTGTGAGGGTTGAGAAAGCACAGTGTTCATTGCTTGCATAGAGTATTGTGGAGGAGAGGAATTAGGGAACATGCCAAACTGTGGTTGTCACAGGCGAGGATCTTTATCCTTGTGAAAACAATACTGAGCCGTGTGATTCTATCGACCACAAATGTAGCACTTAGGCTTGAACCGGAATTGATTAGGACAGGAAGGTGCAGTGTGTCATTCTTGATAGCAGAGTTGACAAGTATTAAAAGGATCAGGATAACTGCCATAAGCTGGCTGAGGTGCATGACCAAGAAGACCTGGACTCGGAGTCGGAAGCACTCGGGTTTGAGGGTTATATGACTGCCTTGGCATGTTAAATCTGTTGCCTTGATTAAACTTGCCCTTGCCTTTGTATTTATTGTTGTTTTGCCGAAACCCATAGGTGGATTGCCCAGAATTAGAAGAAAGACCAGAAGAATGATCACTAGAACCCCGGTCAGTAGTAGAAGAACTGGTAGCTAACATTGCAGACAGCATCTGAGCATTAGTACTTGCATCAACAATTCCTTCATCAACAAACAATTGAGATCGAAACTCTTTCAACGAGATGACCTTTTCTCGTCCACGAATGACACACCGAAATGTGTTATATTCAGGAGGTAAGCCATTTAAAGCCAAAATCACAATATCTTCATCTTCAAAGAACACTCCTGTAGCAGATAGATAATCTCGAGCCTCTTTGATTCTCTGCAGATTCTGAGAAATTGTATTGGAGCCTTTCTTAATATTCTGTAAGTCAGACTTCATCTGAAAGATACTAGTTCTTGAAACTGTTGAAAAATTGTCTTTGAGACGAGTCCAAATGTCCTGAGAACTAGTACTCCCTATAGCACAAGAAACAGCTACAGGGGATAGTGTAGCCGTTATCAACTGCATAAGTGCATGATCATGCATTTTCCACACTTTATAGTCATCAGTTTCGACATTAGCAGATGAATCACCAGAACTGACTTCAGATGCAACAGAAGAAGAAGATACAAAACGAGGAGGACATGGGGACGAACCATCAACAAACCCCATAATTCCATATCCCTCCAGCATTAATTCCATTTGAAAATGCCAATTAAGGTAATTAGAGTCATCCAATTTGACATTCACAGAAGTGGACACAGAGGAAATCAACCCAGTAATCAGAGATTGCAAAATTTGAAGTTGCGAAGCAGTAACCATGGTTGTATACAAAGAAACTGAGTGAGATAATACCTTTCTATGGCTCAGACAAAAAAGCAAACACCTGGTGTGCAGTCGAGAAACACCTAGAAAACAAGAATCAGGACTTGATGTAGAAACCCTAGAATCTTGAACACCAAGGGAAATCACCAAGAGAAGAGACGATGCAGCCCCAGAGTAGCAGACGAAGACTGGAAGAATGCGGAAGCAATAAAGGATCGGATCTTTATGCGTGTGCAACAATGGCGATTGATACCATGTTAACCCAGTATCTCAGATTCAATGAAGATAGAGAGAGAAAGAGAGAGAGAGAGAAAGAGGATTGTAGAGAGAATTCAGAGGGAAAAAATATGATGTATTATTATCTAAGGAAGCTATTACAAGATGGAGTATTTATACTCTTAGCAAACCGACTCTTCTAACCAATATAACAAACAAGCTAATCTGTTTACATGTGGCATCATCTCAGCCTTACATTCTTATACTTCTAATAAGAGGAACCCAGGAGGTACCTTTAACCCACTTGGACTTGCTGATAATCCTGAAGCTTTTGCTGAACTGAAAGAGTGAAGATTGGTGCTGTTGACAGCGGCGAAGAAGCTTCGGATGAGCTGTCAATCCGTCTTTCCCCTTGCAGTGGTGTCTTCCTCCTTCGATCCTAAACCTCTCATCTTTCTTCTGTTTTAACTTTCAATGCATTGGATTGAGTTTTTTTACTTATTTCCACTCTAGGTTTAAAAATTTCTTCTGTTTTAACTTTCAACGCATTGGATTAAGTTTTTACTTATTTCCACTCTAGGTTTAAAAATGGAAGAGAAGCTAAACGGCGCACTATAGAGACAAATTTGAGTGATATTTGTTGGTGACTTCTCTAAGGTTCTGGTAATGCAAACTGGTTTTTCATACAACTTGTTAGTTATCGAGGTGTTCTAACTTCTTTCTCATATCTTCCTCGTATCGTTTGCCGGACGAATTCAATTTTTCTGTCGATGTGGTTTCGTCGCCTAAACACTCTAGAAAAAACTAAAATGCTGACTAAGTTTTCCTCCTGACCAACTTTTTTGTTCCGTTGGGTAAATACTCTTTGCCCAATGAATTACTGTTCATCAGGCAAACTTTAGTCGGACAAAAGGTAAATTATGCTACAGTAAATATATATATATATATATATATATATATATATATATATAAGAGAATTTACAAGTAATTATTAATATAATAGGATACCTAATTTCTATGAAATTATAAAAGGTAACAAAATATTGGCCTAAAATAATACAACTCACCAACACTTTCTCTCTAGTTGGTGCATAGATATTGCTCCTAGTTAACTTGTAAAGTGAGTTGTAGAACGCTTTACTCGAAATTGCCTTCATTAGGATATATATAAATATATATATATATATATATATATCAACCAATTGGTCTTCAGATTTCACAAAAAGAAATTGAACAATTTAATCGTCCCGCTTCTCTTAAATGAAATATATGTCCACCTCAACATACTTAGTATGATCATACTGATTAGATTATGAGCGATATTATCTGCAACTTAATTGTTGCAACTAGAACTGGACACCGGCTTGGCCGGATCCAAATTTAGAGTAATCAGACTGGATTCGTTTGGCAATGAAATCAGGCAAGCGGGTCGTTATATATATAAAAAAAAAAAAAATTGTTGTTGTTGTTGGTCAATGACGTAGAATTTTTTGAAAGTATAACGCATATTTATATGATTATGAAAGGGGGACTTAAGGAGAATCGTGAACCAATAAGGGAAATTAGTCTATGTCAGATCCCACATCGACCAACGGAGAGGGGGTGATGTGCCTTATATGTACATGTCCACCTCCATATAGCACGAGGCCTTTTTGGAGCTCACTGCCTTTTCCATTGGAACTCCGAAGTTAAGCGAGTTCAGACGAGAGTAATCCCAGGATGGATGACCCACTGGGAAGTTCTCGAGTGAGTTCCCAAAAACAAAACCGTGAAGGCGTGGTCGGGGTCCAAAGTGAACAATATCATACTACGGCGGAGCTGTGACTAGGATGTGACAGAATGGTATTAGAGCCATTTTGCCATTTGGTACGGATGTGCCAGCGAGGACGTCAGGTTCCCCTTAAGTGGGGTGGATTGTGAGATCCCATATTCACCAACGGAGAGGGGGTGATGTGCCTTATATGTACATGCCCACCTCCATATAGCACGAGACCTTTTGGTAGCTCATTGGCTTCGGATTCCATCAGAACTCCGAAGTTAAGCGAGTTCAGGTGAGAGCAATCCTAGGATGGATGACCCACTGGGAAGTTCTCGAGTGAGTTCTTAGAAACAAAACTATGAGGGTGTGGCCGGGGCGCAAAGCAGACAATATTGTGCTATGGCGGAGCCAGGACTGGGATGTGACAGTCTAAACCTGTAACAAGGAAGTTTAAGGTAATGTGTTGGACACAAACTACGCAATCATTACTCAACAAGTCTTTGTCTGCGTTATACAGTAATATTGGGTATGCACTTGTAGTAGTAATACATGGTGACACAATGGTAGCAACTGCATGCAGAGTCATCACTACTTGTCTACTACCAACTGGAAGTGTAAATTCTCGAGTCATCTATTTATACTATATATGAACACTGTGAGTGATGTGTTGGTCGTAGTTATGTATAAGTGATGTGTAGGGCAACTATGTGTCTACGTTTGGGTTTTGTGTTGGGCATATCTACGTGTGGTACATGTGAGTTTTGTGTTTATTGGTGTACTTAATATAAGTGTTTGGGCTTGAAATCCAAGATTTGGGTTGAAAGAGAGTTAGCCTAGGAAGAAGGTTGCAAGTCTCGGCCATATGGTGAAATATTTGGCCCCATAGTAAAGTACTGATTGTTTAACCGAGTTCTAGAGGAATTAGAATTGTTCAAAGATCAGGAATAGATCAAGATTCGGTCGGGTCCTGTCTAAAGTGGGACTATGTGAAAATCATGATGGGTTTTGATAAGATTTAGAAGAAATTGTTTAATGATCAATACTCATGACCAGAAAAAAATGAATTAACCACATAAAGGATTAAATTCAGAGCCTAATTTAAGTTAAAGAGACCAAGACTCGATGATGATAGTTTTGGCATAAAGAGGACTTGTCATAATAATTTTAAGTGCATTCAAATATTACCGAGGAAATAGAATTCTACAGCTCGGCAAACTTGGGCATCAAGTAAATTATCCTATAAATATAAGAGAGTTTGCAACGTAGAGAAGACCTTCAACTCAACTCACAAATCAATGCTTTACGTGAACCCTCTCTTCTTTTGAGAAAAAATAATACTAATTGCTTTACTAACTGTCAGCACGAGCACAATCTCTCTATCAGGTTACTAGAATCACAACCAAGCAAAATACAAAGCCTAAATCTACAAGAATATTGTAGCATACTAAGCTGAAGAACTCGCAACAGATGAAGCCATGGATGCAGAAAAACAAGGCCTGCAAACTTTGATTCTTTTCCTCTCTGTCAGATTGCTATTTGCTCAAAACTAAGAATAGGACTTAGTACCACTATGAGTATTAATCTGTGAGAGCAGAGATCACCATATATATATATATTGATGGTGAATCTGACCTGCATCAAAATCAGATTCTGTTAGAGAAGTTTGTTCTCCCTGATTTTGTGTTTGGGGCTGGTAAACTGGATGTGTAACCTGAGAGGTTGTTTCTACTGATTTTAGTTTGATGTTAATTAAATCATTAATTAACTCTTGTTGGGTGAAAGAAGAACTGGAGGCTACGACCTTTAATTTCCTATTGGCTATTGAATTGATTAATTCTTGATCTTGACCCATCTTATCGGTTGGTATGGATTCAGAAAAAGAATTTCTGCTAGGAGCAAATGATCTATGAGACTGGGTAGACTCATAGGATTTTCTTGCTGGACGATCAAAGTTGATTTTAACCGTTCCATCAAAATATTATTCTATGTTGTCTAAATGAACTAGACTGTTTTGAAAAGCTACTGGCTTACTTTCATTAATTAGACACCAATCTGAAGACGAATTGGTTAAACTAATCTGAAGATCCAAGGGACCTTGTATTTGGCCATGAACAATGATAGAAGAGTGATTCTACCATCGAACTGGCTTCTATCAAATCTTTGTTGGAAACCAGATGATAGAACCTGTATGTGTTCTTTGGGTAGTAAGCTGGCTATTGGGCCATGAACTGACCACCAGCTGGGAAACCATGGTAGAAAACTTAGCCTGAAATTTCTGTCAAAGGTTACAATCCATGAATGGCTAAAATCAGCCGTTTGATGAAGAAATATATTAGTCCAGGCTTGAATGTAATCAAAATAATTATAATGGTTGTTCGGGAGGAGAAAATGTTGAGTATAAAGTTGTTTGGTTTGATAGAGGGGGATTCCCCATTCTTGTTCTGTAAGAAATCTACCAATGTGAGGGGAATGGTAGAGTATTTTGCATTCATGGTGTATATATATATATATATATATATATATATATATATATATATATATAATCCTTCTCATATCATAGTAAGGATTCCCTATTTAGAAACCATATAGAAAGATGCTTGTATTTTCTATCTCATATCAATTCTAACATAAGATTGAATCCTCCATCAACTGGAATCAGTCTACCAATTTTTATAAGGTTTTCTTATGCCAATTGGACTCAATCAACCAATCTAAAATATCCAGTCTCATGTTCATTATTTTACATTCTCCCACTTGAGCAAGAGACCAATTTCAAACACGGTTTTAGCAATCATAAGAAGTGATCACATAACTTTTTTTAAGAATTCATTATCATGACTAATGTTCCATTGCATTTCAAAATATAGAAACTAAGAACCATAAACCACATAACAAGATTGCAGTTTTAATTCAAAGCTCACATGTACCCAATCTGCTAATATAACTCATGACCAAACTGATATACACAATTATTTAACAAAATTGCTCCCACTATTCAAAAGATCCATACATCACTATAAAGAGCAAAATGTCTATCATTTATTAAAAGAACAATTCATAACGATCTGCTTTAAACAGACAAACTGTTTTTCAAAGCAACAAATGAATCCATTCTTAAAATTCAATCTGTCATTCGAAACCACAAAAATTTCACAAATGAAGTTTTGAGCACAAATGCAAAGAAACTTATTAAAATATAAAACTAACTATCAAATTAGCTAGCTAAAAACTAAAAAGAAGAATTCAACCTTAGGAACATCAGACTTGCACCAGCTGTTCCAAAACCTTTGATTGTCACAGTAGCACCCTTGGCTACTCCCACTAATCAAAACCTTCAAGCACTCCCATCCAAGCAACATGCAACTTAAATTCCCCAACAGGTAAGGCTTTAGTCAATGGATCAGCAAGCATCAAAGTTGTATTTATATATTGCACTTTAGTCACTGCCTTTTTAACTTGTTCTTTTACTTTAAAAAATTTTACATCCATCAGCCTAAAAGCTGAAGTTCTTCTGTTATTTTTTGGTAAAGAACACAACTGAGTTATTATCACAACACACTCTCATAGGTCTCTAAATTGAGTTTATGATCTTTAATTCTATCATAAAAATTTTCAATTAAGCTGCTTGCTTCATTCCTTCGGAACAAGCTACAAAATTAGCCTTCATAATTGAAGTAGCAATAATAGCCTATTTTTCACTTTTCCAAGAGACTGCCCCACCATTTAGCATAAATATGTAACCACCTATTGACTTTCTATCGTCCACATCAATAGCCAAATCCAAGTCAGTATACACCTCAAGTTCCAAAGATTCATATTATCAAGTTCGAATCAATAAGCTTACTTATGTTATTCTAATCAAACTTATCAAACAGAGAGATTCAAACAAAATTAAATTTTGATTTCATGCTTCTTATTTGGGTTTCAGAATACATACCGTG